TCTCCTCCGCCCCTCTCTGCACTGCCTGGTGCGGGGAGGCATGCGTGGCTCCCCACATCTCGGGGGGCTCATTTGAAGCCCCCAGGGCAAAACTGTGTGTCCTAGCCCAGCGTGGCAGCCTTTGGTTTGTCGCATTGGGGCCAAGTGCAAAGGGGTGTGTGAAGCGGGGGCTCGTCCCACGCACAGAGGGTGCCCCCACCACGGGGGCTGGTGGTGCCCCCAACCACCCCTTGCCAGCTCCAGCCGACCCATCAGCGTTAATGGATGGCTGTATGTGCCCGTACCAGCGGGGAGCGGGGTGGTTGAGACTGCCTGTGGCCAAAACCCACTGGCAAATAAAACAGTCTTGTTTGCTGTGGAGGAGCAGGAATTTAGGGGGAGTAGTTTGGCAGGAAGCTTTGACACTTGCGTATTGGAAAATAGTTTGTCCCGGTGCCCACCTGATGATTTTCCCCTCTCCCCTGCCCGTTTCGCTCCACTCCTGCGATGGTGCCCAGTTCTTGGTCCCCCAGCCACCCCAGGATCCCCTTCCTCCATCCTTGCCCCCTCTGTCCACAGCTTTGTCCCTTGTCCCCCAAGACTGGGACTGGGAGGGGAAAGCAGGAAGAGCCGGGGGTCCTGCTTCCCCCCATGGGGCTGCAGCACTCGCAGCTGTGACACTGTGGGGCAGAGCTGCCGTCTGGGGGGCTGCACGTGAGGGACCTCCACGTCTGCCCAGCCCAAGGTTGTCCCGGGGGTCTCCCGGCACGGGGACATCATTTTCCATCTCCGAGAGCATGGTGCTCCCCGCTGGGCTCTGCTGTACTGGGGCTGTGGGTCTGCTATTCCTCTGGGCTCCTGGGCCCCTTCTCCTCTTTGGGGTCTGCGTGCGTGCACGCACGTGTGTGTGTGTGCAGATCCCTGCCAGCATTGCTGGAGCCTATGCCTTGGCTCTGAAATCTTAATTTGGCTGTGATGAATCCAGACCACCAAGGCGCACATTAATTTTCCTGATGCTCGTTTATATTTTGTTGATCGGAGAAATATGCGTGATGTGGGCAGGCAGACACTGGGCTCTCGCCTCTTCTCCACCTCTTTCCATTTCTGTGGCTCTCACTGTTTTATTCCTTGATCAAATATAAAAGCAAAGAGGAGAAAATATCCCTCACCCTTCCCCTCCCCAGCAGTAACTTTCGTTGTTGGAGGAGCGCGAGGCGCTGCCAGCTTTTCACAAGTTAAGAGTTAACCTTCATCTGGCTTTAATACCCAGTGGAAACATGGCTCCCCTCCTCAGCTTGTCTTAAAGGATTAATCACATTTCTGAAGTTCACCCGTATTCCTTCTTTTTATTATTATTTTTTTTAATTGAATGATGCCAAGAAATTCCAGAAGTATTAAGCATGTTTGCTGCAAATCATTTTTATGACATTGCAAAACCTCCCCTTTTCAACCTCCTCCCCTTCCCTCAGATCTGGGCCCGGGAACGCTGGCTCCCCCGGCAGCCGCCCGGCAGCCCCTCTGTGCCGCACTTGGGGAGGCTTTCTCGCCGCCTTGCCAAGAGAGCTGGTTTTTATTTAAACTCCATAAAGGATCTTGCTTTAATCAGAAAGTCTGCTTGAGAAATTTCATGTCACTTTTCCATGACTGTGGGTGGGAGAAGCTTGGAGCCAGAGTTGTCTTTTGCTCTTGGAGAGCTGCTGCATTTCCCAGAGAACAAAAACACATTTTTCTGCTGGTCGGGGCTGCCAAGGGAGGCTGCCTGCCGTCCGCCCGCCGCCAGCCCTCCTGCTCCCCCCTCTCCCCAGCTCTCCAAACTGCCCGAGGTCGCGGGTGCCATGTCCCGGGTTGGGTTTTGAGGAGTGAGGGAGCTGCTGACAGTGCGTGGCAGCGCCGTGGCAATGGATGTGACGTGCTGCCGTAGCGTGGGGTTTTGAAAAGGGAGTGCGATCTCGTCCGGATTTAGTGGCGTGCCGCTCGGGAGACGTGCTAGCGCTGGGTCCCAGGGAAGATGGGCCAGCTTGAGCCTTGATGCAACATTGTGACTTTTGACCAACCGTGGGATGTGCAGTTGTCGGTAGTGGTTGCCTGGGCTGGTGCACGGCACTGTAAAAATGCCTGTGCGGAACTTTTTGCCTGGTGCAAAACTCTCTCCCTCCTAGCACAGGCTGACCAAGGCAAGCTTTGGGCTTGCACCGCCCCAGAAAGATTTGCCATCATCCCCAGGGAGGGAGAGGACCAGTATCATCTCTGGGAAGCTTGGCAGGGCTGGACTGGTGTGCTCCTTGCCCTGACAGATCCACGGGGTTTCACTGCAGTCCTCTGCTCCTGCTTTGAAAAACAGGGAAAAGAAAATGAAAGGTCCAGCGTCCCTTTTCCCCTGCCCCTGTGCTGCCAGTCCTGCTGCCTGCATTGGCCCCACCAGGGGAGCGACCCCTGTCACAGCCTGGTAGGGGACATGTGCTGGGACAGGGCGTTTTCATGGCTGCTTTAGGGAGGGGGCAGCTGTGCCGTGTGTATGAGGACCTGGTTGTTCTTGCAAGTCCCTGTGAGGTGTGGGCACTGCTTGGGCACACGTGAAGCATCACAGTTAACCGGCCTTCAACTGTGAGATATTTGATGGGAGCGAGAGTGCCTGGAGCGGAGACGCTAGTTGCTTAGGCGCCGGAGGAGCTCAGGGCAGCTCTGGGAGCGTCCAGCATCCACACACCTTCTTCCACTGTGTCTGTACACCCTTGAAGCAGGCTGGGCTCCCTGAGTTATGACTACAAAGTTAGCTTCTTGGTAGCAGGATGGCAGCCGTGTTTGAAATAGCAGGTGGCAGAGGGACCATTTTTGGCCACCCTTCAGTGCTGCATTAAGTTGGCTCATTTTTTACTCTTAGGCCAGAATTTTTCTCGCCCTGTTTCTCAGCTATGGAGCAGGCGGTTTCTCCAGAAGCTGTGTTTTAAGTTATCCATTTTGTAGGAGGGAGGAGAAAAAAAAATAAAGCTCTGAAGCCAGGCCAGTTGCCCTAGCTGCTGGGGACGGAGCGGTCCACTGCCGCCACCGCAATGAACAGCCCTGGGCTCACAGGGAGAGGATGAGCTGACACCGAGATGCAGAGCCAGCCACTGAGATGCCCCGTTGTTCGCTCTCTCTACAGATCTCAAAGATTTCAAGTTCGATGGCCAGCACGTGATCGAGGTGGATGAAGGGAACACAGCCGTGATTGCCTGCGACCTGCCCGAAAGTCACCCCAAGGCTCAGGTCCGCTATAGCGTGAAGCAGGAGTGGCTAGAGGCCTCCCGAGGTGAGTGCCATGGGGGTCTGTCCGGCTTAGCCCCCTCCCAGGGCCCTCAGTTTTACCCTTCCCTAGCAGCTGTAGCTTCCTCTGCCTGCTGCCTCCTCATTGTCACTTCGCAGCCAGTCCGAGCACAGGTTAGTTTAGGGTCTCTGCCACATCTCCTTGATGTCCCTGCTGCCTGGGACTGGGGAGCCACATGTAACACCAGCTTGCAGTAAGGCAAAAGGAAGCAGAATTAGGTGATGCATGACATCACTCTTCATCAGGCATCTTCATGTGTCTGTGAAGCATTCTTGCAGCCCAGCCTGGATAAAGGCAACTTTGAATTTTAGAAATTTCTAAAATTTGGATCTGAGTTTTGCAGTTTCACTCCACCTGCTGCATGTACCTGGGACAAGCTAGCTTCACCTGAGGCTCTGTTCCTTCCATCATTGCTCCCCCTGATATTTGAACCAAAAGAGGTCATTTCAGTGCTGTCGGTATTACTGCATTGTTTTTTCCCTTCCTAGCTATCCACCTTTTCTTTAGGTCACTGTATGTCTTCCAGGAGGGTGGGCGGGAGCATATCTTGTGACCATGTGCCACCTCCTCTTCTCTCTCTACAGACAATTACCTTATCATGCCATCCGGGAACCTTCAGATCGTCAATGCTAGCCAAGAGGATGAGGGGACTTACAAATGCGCTGCCTACAACCCTGTGACGCAGGAGGTGAAAACCTCGGTCTCCAGTGAGAGGCTCCGTGTGAGACGTAAGCCTCTCTCCCTTCACTGCACATCTTCTTCATAGTGTTTCTAGCCCTGGGAGCACGTATCACTGCTATTGCAGCTGGTTTTCTGGGTGTGGAAAAACTACTTTCCAGCAGAAGACCCCAAGGGCTGCTCCTGGGGTATGTGTCTCCAACCCTGGGATTGCCGTACCTCCTCAGGATTTGTTCTTGGTGATGGGCGAGCAAAGGCCCCTAGCCCTTTGGCGAGACTGCTTGCTGTGTGCACGGATCTCTTAAGGAATTTCCCTCTAGGCCTGCCTTGCCATTTATCCCCGCAGTGCAGGGGAGCAGCGCTAGCCCTACCATAACCCCTACCTGCACCCTGCACAGAGTGCTTTTCCACCAGCCACCTTCCTTCTCCACCCATGTCCTTCCTCCTCTTCTCCTCGCCAGGCTCCACAGCGGAGGCAGCCCGGATAATCTACCCCCCTGAAGCTCAGACCATCATTGTCACCAAGGGCCAAAGCCTCATCCTGGAGTGTGTGGCCAGCGGGATCCCCCCGCCACGGGTCACCTGGGCCAAAGACGGCTCTAGCGTCTCTGCGTACAACAAGACGCGCTTCCTGCTCAGCAACCTCCTGATTGACCCCACGAGTGAGGAGGACTCAGGCACCTACAGCTGCACGGCTGACAATGGGGTTGGGGAGGCCGGAGCTGCATTCATCTTCTACAATGTGCAGGTGTTTGGTGAGTGCTGCTGTAGCCCTTGTTTCAGGAAGGACTTGGGAGTTTCTCAGCTGCTTTCAGGGGAAAATACTAGTGCTACTGTACTCCCTGGACAAACCACGATGTAAGGCAAACCCCTGCTTGTGGTTCCAGTTTCTAGGAGATGGGATGAATTCTTCCTTGAGGGTGGTAGTTCCTCCTTCCTGGCTCCCACCATGAGCTGGAGATGATGGATCCTCCCTTCCCATGCAGAAGCTCTTCTCTTGCCATTTGTGGCACTGGGTTTGCTCTAACTCTCCACTCTCTAGTGGAGGACTGGCTGCTGCTTAGACATATTTAGCATTGGGATAGGAAAGACAGAGTGACTTGCTGTTTGCTCTGTTCTGTAGGGAAGATCTCTGTGGGGTGGGAAATGTAAGGGATACTACACCTTAGGTATTTCTACCATGCATCCTTCCCCTTCTCACAAGCGTTAGGGAAGCTAAGCCTATGTTTTATTGGATTGCATTTCATCCAGGTGCCAATGTGTTGCTTTGGCACAAGCGTGGTCTTTGCAGAGTAGCCTTTCAGCTCAGAAAAATGGGTCTTGTAGGTGGCTGCTGTTATCTGAGAGGGGCAGGTGGCCTTGGGCCAGCTCTCTCTGCAGTCCCTGTGGATGCTGAAGGGGAGGCGCAATGAAGCAGACCCCTGCAGGCCCCCACAAAGGGAGTGGGACTTGGGGGTGGGGTAAGGATCCATCACTCTGCCCTCGTCCCTGCCAGAGAGGAAGGTGCAAAGCCGTGACCTTGCCATGCTCCCTGCCAAGTGGCAGTGGCCCTCAGCAGCCGTGTCTTTTCCTTGCGCAGAGCCCCCAGAGGTCACCATGGAGCTGTCCCAGCAGATCATTCCCTGGGGCCAGAGCGCCAAGTTCACCTGTGAGGTGCGAGGGAACCCCCAGCCCTCCGTCATGTGGCTGCGCAATGCCGTCCCCCTCTCTGCAAGCCACCGGCTCCGGCTCTCCCGCAGGGCGCTGCGGCTGGTCAGCGTGGGGCCCGAGGATGACGGCATATACCAGTGCATGGCAGAGAACGAGGTCGGCAGCGCGCAAGCCATGGTGCAACTGAGGACAGCCCGGCCAGGTGAGTCCCTCTCTCCAAGCTTGTGACCG